TATTATAAATTAAATTTACGTGTCAAATAAAAAATATGCTATATAAATAAATTACTATATACAGTAAAATATGCCCATGATCATTTATTTATTTATTTACCCCTTTTATTTTTATTATCGATCTTTCAATTTTGTCAATCAAATCATCTAACTATTTAAATGTTGTCAATCAAATCATTTGCAGTTAATATTTGACGAAAGTGTTCACGATGGACAGTTAAAAAATTTGTATATTTACATATTTGGTCATCGTTATTCACCACGTGATAGATTTTTTTAATTTTAATTAATTTCATTTTTTCCTCAAAAGATGACACGTGTCACCATCTAATTGCGTGAAAAACAGGGGTGTTCAAAGGGTTAATTCGGTCACCGACCGAACCGAATTTTTATTAACCAAATTAACCGAACTTTTTTCTTTGACCTTTAACCAAAACGAACCGAAATTTCTTTTGAAAATATTAATCGAACCGAATAAAATTCGGTTATTATGTTGCTTAACCTAATTAACTGAATTTTTAATACTTTCTTTAATTAGATTAATTTGAATATAATACAAGTATTTTTTTTTTATTTGGATTAAAATTTAATTAGATACTGATAATTTAATGAGACAAGTATAATTAAAAAATAATTAGGTCTCAATTTTTAATGGATTTGAGTTTAAAATATGTATTAAATACATAATATATTTAATATTTAGTAATTTTGATTAATTCAGTTAATTAACCGATTTTGAATCGAAATAATCGTTAATCGAATATTAAAAAAATATTCATCGATTCTTGATTGAACTAATTCGGTAACCGATCGAATTAATCGAATTAATTCAGTTCGATCGATTAATTCGATTAAAACCGAAAAATCAGAAATAAATGAAAGAATGAATGCACGGTGAAATCAAGCATGGGGGCTTGTAGATTGATTAATGCGGGGGTAAACCACGGGGTCAAACCCAAATTTTGGTGATGAGAGACAACATTTATTTTATAGCTTATTTTAGTTAGTGGCAGTGAAAAAGAAACTAAAGTAATAAAAAAAGTATTTCAACAAAAGATTAAAGAGAGGTTTTAGCATACTTCAACCATCAAACCAATTCTCATATTTAATAAATTATTACATCCATTTGTATATATATCTTTCATTTTACTTAATGACAGAAAAAATAAAAATTTAAATAATTAAAATATAAATTTCTAGATAATGAAATAGGAGAAAAAAAAGCTTTTTAAAAAACATATATACGTAACATTTTTTTAAAAATATAAAATTGTTACTGTAGACACTAATTTTGTTTGTGCCTGATTATTAGGCTTGAATCCAATTACCAATCCAAAAAACTCAAGTCAAATCCGTCCAAAAGCGCGCACACACGTATCGCAACCATTTTCCCAAACCCCTGAAAATCCGACAAAAATCTTATTTATAATCATTAAAGTTGTGTCTACAATAGAGAAATAAATGCGTATTTATAGTGTTCAAGGTTAGAATTGAAAAGTCACAATAATTGTCGAAACGGTTTTCCGAAATAAAGGAAGGGGTCTTGTATCGAATGACCTTTTAATGATAAAAGGTGTTCGAGGAGTCCCCAATATTTTATTGTTAAGATGTGATTGGGCACTCAAAAAATATTTATTATTTTTAAAAAATTATTTTAATTAAAATAACAAATTTACGGTATGCGTTACAAAAATTTGAGTTCGGGAGTCAATTACGTATGAGGAAGGATTAGCACCCCACAGTGCCCTAAATTGGTACCTAGCCGATTAATTAGTTGTATTTGTAATACAATTTAAGAATTCAAATCTAATTTAATTTAAGATCCCCTACAAGTATTATTCTTTTGAATTTCAGGACGAAATATAATAATATTTAATTATTTCTTATTGAGAAAGATCGACCTTCTATACCTAAGAGCAGCCGATTCATGCTCCAATCGAAATAAGAAAATATTAAAATTACATTCTAAATTTCATTAATAATTCAAGATAAAAACACCCAAAATAATTTTAAGAGAGAAAACGATAATATCTAATTATTTCCAATCGAAAATAAATGACATTTCATTTCTTAAAGCAATCATTTATTACTTCAATCGAAATGAAGAGATATTACTATTTCATATTAGAATTCAATATTGATTCGAGTGAAAACGATAATATCTAATGATTTCATGTCGAGAATATATGACCTCTCATACCTTAAAGCGATCATTTATTGTTCCAATCGAAATGAAGAGATATCATTGTTCCATCTTAAAAATCAATATTGATTCAAGAGAAAACTGTAATATCGAATTATTTCCAATCGAGAATAAAGGACCTTTCATGCCTTAATGCAGTCATTTATTACTCCAACCGAAATGAAAAGATATTACTATTCTCAATATCGATTCGAGTGTTGCTATTTTGAAAGCTCGTTGGAAAACACATGAAAAACTAAATCACATTAGAAGCATATCCCAAGCAAATACAATTAATTATTTATTTTACCAATATTTTATGGGAATAAGAATGTTCAATTATTTAAATACCTAGAAATGAAACCTTAGATTCAATCTAACAGTCTTTTCTCGGTGAATTTAATTAAAAGAACACGATCTTCTTCCTAATCCCTAAATTTTAAAATAGATTCAATTTAATTCGTGTCACTAAATTTTAATTGGACTTATCATCTTGCTCGAAAGACTTATAGATGTCTCGAAGGATTTAATCATGCTTGAAAGCCTTATTGATGGCCCAAAGGATTACTAAGTAAGAAACTTTGGAAATCGTTTTCTTACTTTTTAACTTATAAAATAACTTAATGGTCGGGCAACATGTCCTACTTCAAAGTAATGCTTCCTTTATGGATTGGGCCCACCATGTTCTTCAGGTTCTGCCTCCTTAAATATGATTCCTTGCATTTGAGGTTTGAATTCTAGCTTCAACTTGTTGGGATTTTAATACCATTAATCTTTTATTTTCATTGGAATATCTATAAAAACCATACGTTTATGCGTGAAATGCGAATGCAATGCAATGCAATGCTTTTTCTTTTATGTAAATAATGTTCTCATGCAAGCATAAATGCTTATTCAATTTTCCTTTGACTCCAAAGTGGGGAACTAGGTCTTCTTCCACTTGATCACTCCTCTCTCGGGTTTATATAAATATAAGTGTAGCAACTTATGATTTCAAGCTTGCATTTTTGGAAGACCTATCTAATCATCTTATGTCTTTGTGTCTTCTTTGCTGATTCCAAAGAGTTGCTCATCTTATGTCTTTGTGTTCTATTGAATTCTTGATGTGGTCCGTAATATGATCTTGATGCCCCTTTCTGTCGTTGACTCAATCGCGCTATCAGAGTTGTTTTTCCAGGACTTTACCGTTAATTGATGATCGACTGATTTTCTTTAGAAGGTAAGCTCTTCTCAAATTCATGGTTTTCCTTGGCACCCTAAGTTGTGAGACTTGAGACTCATTCTTAATGTTGTTTCGGTTTGAGCCTTGTTATCTCCATGTGATCTGGGTTTTTGATAATGCCCCAAAGTGGGTATTTTCATGACTTATCCCTATTTGGGTGCCAAATTTTCATCCTTGACTGATCTCACTTTTGCATTTGTGCTATGAGTTGGGATATGTGTCCCTTTCAAATAAAAAGATCATCTGCTTCTTGACAGGTTACCGACAACGTCACGAGGAAGTGTTACAAGTTTTATCCTACCATCCTTTTGATCTCTCAGACCATTTACTTTGAAGAATGTGGAATGCTTCATCATTCTGGGATCATTTATTCTTTTTCTCCAATAGGGGCAGAATGGGTCTCACCAGCTTCAAGGATCGTTTATTCTGGGATCCTTTATGCTTCGAGTATTTATCGAACCTTGATCGAGTCGATGTCGAGTAGCTCGCGATCTGTCTCGTCTCATTTACAGCCCTGTTCAAAACCTTCCTTCTACATGCACCTAGAATTTGCCCAAGGTTGCCACGAATGATGATTCTTGACCATGCAACTTTTGATGCAAATAATACATGGGCGTAAAAATTGATCTTTACAACTAACTGAGGAGGAGCTCACCATCGAACCATGGGGGAGTCGAGAGTATTTCCCAATCAAGCGTTGGCAGTGGAAAAATCGTTGCATTGGGAATGAATCAAGGTAAGAATATCTTCATTTCTTAACATTTTTCCTTGATATAAATGTACATTATGGGCATACCACAAGGCCCATATTGACACCTAAATCTCTGCATGTTTAGTACTGATATTGTTAGAAAATAGCCGCCTCAGCCACTCCTCCAAATTAGATTGCGAAATCACCCCTGATCATGAATAATTTAAATCCCTCCATACTGATTTTGCAAGGACGCCATCCCTGACCACATGTAAACCCGATTCCACTTCCATAGCACATCTCGTGCATATTGGACTCTGAATCAAACACCTAAAGTGTAAATTCTGAGTAGTTGGAATGAAATTCATGGAAAAACGCCATGCTTGATTTTAATCTTCAATTGACATGAGGTAGCCCATATAGCATTATAAATCATTTTCTCCGACTACAAGATGTTTACCTCCGAAAACAGAAGTCGGTATCCTCTTCTAACAGTGTAAACCCAGATCTCTCCCCACTCCATACTCTACAATCTTCCTATCCACTGCTTGCTAAAGGAATTTCCAAAATTTGATTAGCTTCCACTGCCACAAACACCTCCATAATTAACTTTTCCTTCCAGCCTCTCTGCCTCTCATCAATTAGATTGGCCACCATATTTATCAATCGCACAGGGGAGGAAAGCACTCTGTGAGGCACCCGATTGGGTAGCCAACAGTCATTCCAAATTGAGATGGCTTCTCCGGACCCCACCTTCCACCGTATCCATTTTTGAAGCAAACCCTTTACACTCTAAATACTTCTCCATGTACATGATGGGGAAGAACCAAGAGCCGAACTGAGAAAATCTCCCGAAGAATAATATTTTTCTCTTAAAACACGGCCAACCAGCGAAGTAGGATTAGTTAATAAATGCCACCCCTGCTTTGCAAGTAAAGCAAAGTTAAACTTCCCCATATCCCAGAATTCGAGACCCCCATCCTCCTTATGCTGACAAAGGGCTTCCCACGTGCACCAATGAATGCTCTATTCGTTTCTGATTTTTGCCACCAAAACTTCTCCATGATCCTTTCAATTTCCAAGCAAAGGCTTCTTGGTAACAAGAAACAAGTCATAGCGAAGAGGGGAATCGCTTGAAGAACCGATTTAATGAATACCTTCTTACCCCCTTGAGAGAGAGCACGAACACTCCAACTGCTAATATGGTTGTGAAATTTATCCAGCAAATAACCGAACGCGCCTCTTTTATTTCTCCCAACAATAGCAGGCAACCTCAAGTATTTTTCCGGGTTGGATGAACTAAATACCTTTAGAATTCTTTGAACATCATTTCTATTTGTATCAATAACATTAGAACTAAAGAAAACCCCTGACTTATCAAAATTGATTACCTGGCCTGAATACCAACCATACTCTCTGAGTATCTCCTTTGTTCTGAGCGCCACCTGAGCATTCGCTTCTCCAAATATTAAGCTATCATCTGCAAATAAAAAAAAAGTGCGAGATTATCAACACATACCGGTTAATCCTTTCTACTGTGAGAACCCCATTTGAAATCGCCTGCCTCAATAGAGATGGGAGCCCCTCACTGCAAAATAAAAATAATTATGGGCTCAACGGCTCTCCATGTCGAAGGCCCCGCTGAGGAGCAAACCTATCTCCTGGGAACCCATTAATAACCACAGAATAAGTAACAGAACAAAAACAGTTTCGAATCATATCAATCCACCCTTGAGAGAAACCCATTTTTTGCATAACAGACGACACGAAGCTCCACTCGACTCTGTCATAGGCCTTACACATATCTAATTTCAGAGCAAAATAATCTTTTCGACCCTCACATTTCTTAAAAAAAAGAATGGATAATTTCATAAGCCACAATTATATTGTCAGAGATAAGCCTTCCTAGAACAAATGCACTTTGTGCTTCTTCCATACAATCCCCAAGTATTCATTACATACGAATAACTAGCATCTTCGATATTACCTTGCACAACACATTGCACAAGTTAATTGGCCTGAACTGGCTCAACTTTGTCGTCTTATCCACCTTGGGAATTAACACAATATGCGTGTGATTTACCATACTAACATTCTGCTACCTTGACAACACCCAACACAAAATACAACAATCTCTTCTCCAATCAAATGTCAGAATCTCTGATGAAATATTGCTCCTAGACCATCTTCCCCTACAGCCTTTAAAGTGTTCATAGATTTAACCGCTGTAGTGACATCATCCTAAGTAAAGGGTTTTAATAACAAAGTATTAATGTCGGTTGTAATATTTTCGGGAATGCCATCCAAAACACCATCTCCCACTGGCTCAGCCGAAGATACGAACAAATCTTGAAAATAATTCTTAGCGTATTCCCCAATACCATGATCAGTATCCACTGTGTTCCCCTCATCCGATTCAAGAAAATCAATTTTGTTACGACGTTTGCGCTGAGAAGCAAACCTATGAGAAACTCCGTGTTGTTATCGTCATTCTTCAACCAATTAGCCCTTGCCGTCTGTCCCATTAGAGTTCTGACTTATCGGCTTCTAAATTCATTTGGAATTTGGTATCCACCATCTCCCCCAAAATGATATTAGATCTTATTATTATATATTTCTCTTTACTATATAGCAACAAAAATTTTCAAAAAATTATTATTATTATTGTTACTTTTGAAATAATCTTAGTTGATTATAATATAATATTTATTCATAATAATTTTTTTTCACTATTGATAATGTACACACTCTACAATTATAGCTATAATTTAGAGATAACAATCTTCTTCTAAATCAATGAAGTTGTTTGATGACAAAATAAAAACAAGGCTAAAAAATTCACCAAAACATGAACTAACATTCAATGGCCAAAAATCCGTAAGATTAGCATATAATATACAAATTTTCATGGTTGGATCCCCTGTTTTTTCTCTGAGAATTTCTTTCCTTGCAAATAAAAAAAAAATCTAAAACAGACACTAATGTTAGTTATTAGTTAAGATTACGGTTTCAATTTTGAACAAACACGTTTCCTTTTGTCAAAAATAGAAGATCACACATGTTTTTCCTCATGCTTTCATCTTCTCTTTTTCCTTGGCCTTTGGAAAAGTTTATGTTCGTATTGCCCAACTTGCCCAAACACAAAGGTTTGATCTTTGACACATTCATCTTTCATTTCACTATTTGCTTCTTCTTTTAGTTTGAGCTTTGGGTATCAAAGGATTGCATTTGTTCTGAATATTGGTTTGAGCTTTTAGCATGTAATTTACAAATGGGCTGTTCTTCGCTTTCTTTATGAATGTTTGGTTGCCGAGAAAATTTGTTTGCTCTTCATCCATATGTTGGAAAGAATTGCCTGAAATGTTTCTATTTCTTTTGTGTTCTCTGCAATGTTTCTAAATAATTGCATTTAGATGATAGGGTTATTATCATGACTCAATTATCATTCCTTTTTGTTATTTCTGTTGAAAAAAATGATCGTAGACGTTAAAATTTTTTTGGGGGGTTGTTTTGTTTTGGCATGCTTTAATGTTGTCAAGAAGAAATGAAGGTTTTTTCTTCTTTGGTGATGACACTGTAACTAGGGATTTAAGTGGCGGCAGCTCCTGCTATATATAACGGTAGCAGAGCTGTTCTCAACCATTATTACATAACCATGATACCCACAATTACCGTAATAACATTATGATAAATGTAATGTAACCTAACACGCAATGACAGCCATAATTTAAATCCTTGATTATAACAATAATTTGGTTAAATGGTCAAACCTTGACTTCATTGTTTTCTGGCAATATTATAACTGGATACGAGTACCTTTAGGGGCTCATACATGATTTTATTTTATTTTTAAATCTAATATACTCGTACAAGACGATCCGACCGTAGTCCGAATAACATAGTTCTCTTTGTTAGCTGAAAGCCTCTTGCATCAGTGATCATGCTATTGATTGTTTTACTCCTTTTCTTCAGGTCTTCTTTGTGTCTTCCTTTTATGGCAATGCCAGCGCCCATGAAATCTTTCTGGTCTGCTGCAGGGTTGTAAGTCCTGAAGATGGCTGATGCACTATTTGACATCCCGGTTTCCGAAGGATAGAAACGTTCATTCAATGAGGTACTCCACCAGGAAGGTGATCATGCCGAGCGGTGGACTAACAGTTTTTTCGCGTTACCTCCGATCTTCACAGGGTTCTTGTCATGATATTTGCAAACATGGAACAAATATTTCTCCTGCAACAGAGTCAAAGACCCCAAGGAGTCCTATGCGTAAAATAGTTGTACCGAAACCAGGAGCAGGCCGGAATTTGGAAAGAATCTCGGAAAGTAATTTGGTGGATAGGAGAAACAAAATGGGAATTAGTGTTAAGGTTTCTTCGGATTTCAAAGTGCAGGAACCTGATGATTATGTTGCCATCAAGGTTGCAGAAACACAAGGACACCATGTGGAAAATGTTGAAGATGATTTAACTGATACGAAGAACTCCGCTGCTAGTGTCACGACTTCGAATGATGCTGAGCTGCAGAAACCAGAGTATCCCAGTCTTAAGCCCTCTCCGGAGGATCTGGTTGAAATCGAAGCTATGTCAGTGGAAAGTAAAGCCAAAGATGAAGAAAATGCTGAAACTAAATCACCGAACGGAGAAAAGAGTCAACAAGTTTGTGTGAAGACGTCTTCTGATTCCGAAGGCCAGAAACCTGTCAAGCTTGATTGCATTGAAGATGGAGTATCATCTTGGACTAATAAAGATTCCGTCTTACCGGATCAAGTTCTATTATCTCGAAAGGAAACCGACTATGCAAAAGATTCAAAGCTGAATCCCCAATCGAAGCCATTGTCTCTCATAAAACAGACACGTCCGAGTGGCAGACATAACTCCGAAGGCCCGAAAAGGAAGGAAGCAAACATTATTCCCACAACTTCTTTAGGCGTTTCTGGTGGAAGAAATAAAGGTGAAACGACAATAAGCAAAGGAATAAGGTCCTCTGTGATTGCTAATAAGAAAAGTGTAGTGCTACCATCTGTTTCTTTGTCCTCAAAAGAATCCAGTACCGGAATTTCGAGCATGGATGCCAAGAAAAAGAAGTTGAGAGTAGTTTATCATTTGAAGAAGCAGGAGAATGAAAAGAAAATTAAGCTCGAGAAGCTGCACGGTACGATTGCTGAAAGGTCGAGTGATCTAAAGGGAAATTCTCATCTTCTGGATCTAGAGAATGTTAAGAAATTCAATTCGGAGCAAGCCAAGTCCGCAAATGTTGCCGAGACGACTCCATACCCGATTGAGTCAAATCCTGTGAACAAGCCAGCAGAATCTGATCAAAATAATGTCGTGTCCATGAGGCCATATTCATCATCCAAGGACAAGAGCATGAAACACAGTCACAACAAAATTCCAATAAGCCGAATGCCTCGTTCATACGAGAAGAAAAAGATGATATACAGGCCAAAGGGGATTCAAGCCAGCGGATTCCCTCCGTCTTTATCCTCGTCTCTGGTTAGGAAAAGCTCGAGAACAACTCCAAATGGATTGAAAATCACTCAGCCATCTTTAACTTCCTTACCATTATCGGCATCCCTCGAATCTTTCCATAATGATACCTCAACCGAAAATGATAAAACACTTGCAGAAAGGAAAAAAGGTAGCTCGAAACTGATGTACAACGCTAAACCTAAAAGGGCATTTATCATCACCTCGAATAATAAGCATTTTCCAGGCAAAAAGTTGCATTTCCAGAGAGCAAAGGTGAGGGAAGTTCCGGTTGAGGATCGCACTGCAAGGAGACTTGCATTCAAGAAAAGAGAGCCTGTTGACAACAGATCAAACGATGATAACTGGAAAGGCAAAGTCGAGGACTGTACTCCAAGGAGACTCAAGTTCAGGCAAAGAGTAAATCCTGGCAACATAAATGGTGATAACCAAAACAGCAAAGTCGAGGAGTTCACGCCAAAGAGACTCAAGTTGAGGCAAAAGGTGATCGATGAAAATCGAAAAGGTGATAATCGGAACAGTAGAGTCGAGGAGTTCACGCCAAAGAAACTCAAGTTCAGGGAAAGAGTAATCGTTGACGATCTAAATGGTGATAACCAAGACAATAGAGTCGAGGAGTTTACGCCAAAGAGACTCAAGTTCAGGCAAAGATTGATCGTTGACAATCGGAATGGAGATAACCGAAACGGTAATGCCAAGGAGTTTACTCCGAGGAGGCTCAAGTTCAGGCAAAGAGTAATAGTTGACAATCGAAATGGTGATAACCGAAACAGTGGAACCACGGAGCTTTCGACAAGTACCCTAGAGTTCAGGAAAAAAATAATTGTTGACAACATGAATGCTGATAATCAAAATGGTAGAGGTGAGGACTCTGCTCCAATGAAACTTATTTTCAGGCCAAAAGTGGTTGATGATAAGAAAACCGGCACTAGCAAAAACAACTCCGGAGGAAAACAAGCCGGTACTGGAATTGATAACGACACTCAAATCGAATCTGAACAAATTTCTTTGAGACACAGAGATGCAAATGAGAAGAAAGGTTCAGGAATTTTGTACAACAATATCATTGAACAGACTGCAAGCAAGCTTGCAGAGACTAAGGCAAGTAAGGTGAAGGCTTTAGTCAGCGCTTTCGAAACCGTCATCTCTCATCTCGATATCGGAATCTCGGAAACAAACGATGGAAACTAAGCAACTGAAGGTAATTTATCATGTACTGTACATATACAAATGTGCAAAGAAAAATACAAAGGTGGAGATAGAAGAACAAACTTGTATTATGTTTTCTTTGTTCTGAGCTTGTATACTGAGCTTAAAGATTGTTTTGTTTTTGTGTTCATCTTTGTTTTTTACATCTAAGATCCAGTTCGATTGGTAGAATTGTCTTAGATGGATTTAACCATATGGTAGTGATCAAACTTTATTCAGGCTCTGGTGCGAGTACAAATATGGGTATTTTATATGGCATTGTCATGGAAATCATATTCATTCTTTCCAAGGTTTTCTTCAAGAATTCTTGAAAATTTGATGCATCATCATCATGTAATGCTGAAATTAGAAAACAAGTTCCAACAAGCATGCAGCAAATGATCCTCAGTTTATGGGATGTGCAATCCGGTAATATTTGATTATACCCGTATTTTGTTCTTTTGGAGAGGAGTGAGCTAAACTCAACTCAACTAGAAAAAAATTTAAATCAAGCTATAAAATATAACTGATTTTTTTTTTAGTAATTAATGGATTAGTTTTCAAGTTTGAGTTGAGTCCTTGACTCTATATGATACATATATATATATATCACATATGAAAAAATATATATATTACATATATTATAGAAAACCATTTAAATTGAAACTAAATTATATTATAATATTATAAATATTTACAGTTAAAATTAAAAAAAACTTGAACAACTCGACTCAAATCAACTTTAATTTTATAAACTCAATTTGATTTAAAAAATCAAATAAATTTTGAGCTATAAAATAAGACTCGTCAATTCAAATAATTCGATTTTTTTTTAATTTAACTCGATCGAACTCTCACTCCTACTAATTCATTGTTTGGCATGGGTGGATTACTTGATGTCTATGTAGTTTGATTAATTTGTGCCCAATTCAATGCTGCCAACAAAACCAAAAAAAAATCAGTTTCAATTTCTAAACACATATATAAAGAAAGTTAAAACAGTATAAAGTGCACAAATGATCCCTTAACTATAGAGGTGTTGCTTTGTTGAGTCCCTAACTATTAAAAGTTACAAAATAGTCATCTAACTATTCATATATTTCAAAATTGTCATTTTTTCGTTAAAAAATTGACGTTCGTCTAAGTTGGAGGTTAATCTATCAACTAGGATATTATAAATCCAATCTCAGAACCGTTTGAGCTATATTTTGTGGATCAACTATTCATTTACATTATATCTTCGAGCCAATTCTTAAAAGAAACAGTGGTGCCAGTAAACATCATTAAAATATGATTTTATAACACCAGTAGATTAACGTCAGCTCAGACGGTCGTCATTTTTAACAGAAAATGACGAGTTTGGAACACATGTATAGTTTGGTAACCATTTTGTAACTTTTAATAGTCAAAGGACTCAACAAAACATTGTCTTAAAATCGAGGTAGGAGTTCTTAATGAGTTGAGTAGCAATCGAGACCTTAACAAGTTTATTCAAGCATGGTCTAACTCGACTCGATAAGTTTGTGAGCAATTCATTAATTTTTTTTATAAGTGGCAAATGGGTCATTCGGATCGGGTTTGGATCATTTATGTTTAGATTTAATTCAGGTCGGGTCGGGTTAGGTCATTTCGGGTTTTGGTTTTATCCTGGTCAGGTTCGGGTCAGAACGGGTTGTTTCGGGTTTCGATTTTATTCGGGTCTATAGTAAGTCTGGTCAGGTTCGGGTCGGATAGGTTCATTTTGGTTTTTGATTGTATTCAGGTCTATAGTAAGTCATTCGGTATCGGGTCTGGTCAATATCGGATCGATTGATTTTGGGTTGGATCAATATTCGACCAATTATTTTTTGTTTGAGTCAACATTGGATCTTCAAGTCAATTAAAATTGAGTTAGGTATAAGTCAAATAAAGTATATATAGAATTATTGATATATTTTTTTAAGAATATATGTTTTTTAATTCTTATTATTTGTGTTCAATTTCATTTAAATTCAATTATCATTTATGGATTATAATTTAGTTCAAACTCGATCTATAAGATATGTTAGAGTTTGTGATGTTTTTTATTGATCCGGATTGAAAAGTTTATAGTACGATCTATTCGATTAAAAAAATAAAATTTTTTTAATTATAAATTTTATTATCTATTAAAATTTTAAATTAGATATTTAACTTTTAATTATAAATATAATATTTTTATTAAAGTTAAAAAGTAATAATAATATACTATTCATGTTTGAAAAAAATATTATTCTAAATATATTTATAAATGATATTATATTAATATATCGTCGATAATATTTTAATTATAAATTATAAATAAAAATAGATATCTTTATATTTTAAAAATAAGTTATTTGTATAGTATAAAAATAAGTTTTTTGTATAGTATAAAAATAAGTT